GAAATGTTACTAAGGTTACTTAGATACACACAAGCATGCAACTAGTAAAGCCCCTTATGTTCTTGTTCTTACACAACTGTAAAACGAACACGTACAGGTTAAATACAGCCAAAGCCAAAAACCCCGGACAGCATCACCATTAATCACTGCTTTGCTGAGGCCCCTTGCCTCGTGGAGTGGATGAACACGCAGGGTTGCTAGAGCGCTCTGCCTGCCTGCGCCCCCCTGTGTAAGAAGGCTCACCTTTTCCCGTTTCAGGGCCTCGGAGTGGTATGTGAGAGGGAACTTCTATGAGGGGAATTGGCTCACTTGGTGATGGAGGCTGAGAAACCCCATGATAGGCTGCAAGCTGCAGAACCAGGAGAGCCGGGGGCAGTCCTCAGCCCAGCTACAAAGAACCAAGAGCCTGGGGTGGGGATGGGGTGGTGGGCAGCAAGTCTCAGAGGCCAGAGGACCTGGAGCTCTGATGCCCGATGACAGAGAAAGAGCAACCTAGCTCCAGAAGAAAGAAACCTGAATTCCCGTTTCCTTAGCTTTTTTTTCTACCAGGGCCCCAGCCCATCCTGTGGTGCTCACCTGCACTAAGGGCAGATCTTCCCCACCCGAGCCACGGCTCTGACGCTGGTTGCCTCTGGAAGCACCCACACAGACTCACCGGGGCAGCCCAGCCATTCGAATCAAGTGCCAGGCCGCCTGGGTTTCCCTTCTAGGAGAAGAGGGCCAAGCTCCATGCCTGCTGCAGCACTGAGAATACGTAATGCATCCCCGGGGTCTGGGTATCCCCGAATCCAATCAAGTTGACACCTGAGTCATCCGAGTGTGGCGGATGAAAGCAGGCCTGGGGTGCCTGAATCACCGGACTGCGCTGCTGGTGAATGGCGGATCCAGCGTTCTCATGCCCAAGCCTCATGGGCAGCTGCCTCATTGTCATTTTGTTTCAGATCAGGTCAGAACAAAACGATGTGGCCACTGATTGATTTTCTCTTTCTCTCCTCCTTCCACAGCCCGCGGCCCTCAGTGTCACAGCGTGGCCTTGGCTTATGTGCCACAGCAGGAGCTAAGCGGGTCCTGGACCAGCTCTTCGAGAGGTGGAAGGGGCCCCGCCAGCTCTGGGGAGCAGCAGCCTTGGGCTGTTCGGAGCTTTAGGCACAAGAAGAGAAGCATCTCTTGCATCTGTGCCCCTGGGGGCCTCTTCAGCTTTGCAGTGGTTTATAGGAAGACATACCTCCCAGAGGGGCATGGACTGCCACCAGGACTGACCCCGGCGTCGGGAGGACACTTGCAGAGCCTTGAGATCACCTGTTTGGCAGGTCCTGGACTGGGGCCGGGCAGGCAGGGACAGGGAGGAGCCCCGGGTGGCTTTCGGGGCTGCAGCACTGCCACACATCCTTTTCCTCCCGGCCCGCCCTGCTGGGGCACTACTGCCGTTTATAGATGGTGTCCCAGGCCTGGGAAACCAGGTTCCCAGGGGTTGAGACCAGAAGGTTGATGAGCAGAGAACCCAGGACAGATTTTATAAGGTGCAGAAACTGCAGGGGGGCCTCAGTGACATCCACGAGGCAATAAGGCTAATTGCCTTATTTGCTAATAAGAGCAAAGGACACCCAGACCTCCAAAGTTTGTGGGCCCCTGCCACAAAGCTGTAAGTCCCAGCCGACCCACTGAGGGCCTTGCCCAGTGCTGTGGCCTGGTGGGGACACAGATGCTCTGGCCACTCAGTGGAGCTGGGCCTGCAGCAGACTCAGGACTCCGAGTGCCCTGGGGGTCACCCCTCACATCCCCTCCTCAGAGCCCACCCTGAGAGGCAGCAGTGACCCCCGTGGTACACACGTGCCAACAGCACTGGGGGCTTCTCCCCGGGAGACCACGCTGCCCTCCAAGACCAGGGGCAGCTGTGAGCTGGAGATAGCAGAGGGACCCCAGGGAGTCCCCTGCAGACCCCACCAGGGCCGCATCCGTCTCAGTTTGGGGGACAGTGATGGGGCCCTCACCATCCTCTTGAATCTTGGCCCCCATTTGCGCCCTGAGCTCCAAGATAAGAATGGCCGTGAGAGAACTGCTGAACATTTGTTCATTGCTGTCACCTCCTGAGTCACTGGGGTCCCTCAGCAGAACCTCCCTGACACCTGGGCTGTGGAGAGGTTGGTGCCTGTCAGTGACCATCCTAATGCCTCTCACTCACTCCTAACCCCCTGTTTGAGGGGGAGGGGTGTTGGTGCCTTGACGGGGCTGGGTAGGGTGTCCAAACTTGTGGCTTTCCAGGCACCTGCAGTGTGAACACTGCTTGACTGGCTCAGGGTTAGGGCTGCAGAGGGGGCTGTGCCACAAACCAGTTACTTAAGCAGCCCTGAGTGTCCCCATGCCTTGGTGCGGGTCCTGGAGGCCTCTTGGGGGTGGGACCTTTGGGCAGGGTTTGCCCACTGATGCGCCCCCCACCATGGGGCCCTGGCTACATGGGGCTCCTTGGACCCTATAGACCCTGCAGACCCCACCTGTGTCAGGCCGGTTGCCCGAAGACACTTGGCTGTGGTCCCCGGGGATGGCTTTGCTGGCGCACTCAGGAGCCCGGCCGCGGGGGCTGCAGGGAGTGCACCTAGACCCGTGGCGTTGCTTCATTGAGATAAAGAACACTTATCACATAGCACAAAGGACGGGCCATGGTGCTTTCCCCGAAAGTTGTGTTGAGTTTTTATCAGTTTCCTAACTTAATAAAAAGAGTTGAGAAAATTCTTTGCCTGCCTTGTGTGCTGGTGTTAGTCTTGGAGACATTCCTGTTGGCTGACTTCAGTCCTGTCCCACCAGCCAAGGCTCAGGCCTGCCTGCTGGCGTCTGCCCTTCTCATGAGCTGGGAAGGGGGACCCACCCGGATGAGAGGTCTCCCCATTCCTGTCTCCTCCTGAAGTTACTTCAGAAGCCGTGAAGTTGATTCCGTGGAGAGCCCTGATCCTGTCTGCCCCTCCTCTGGAGGGCGATTCTCTCTTGGAAACTAGTAAATAGAAGCTGGGAATGTCATTCCATCCACTCAAAAAGGCAGAACCTCCAGTTGATGCTCCTTTGTCTGAAAATAACCCAAGCGCCATTCAGAGGGGCAAAATGGCTCCAGGAGGCAGCTCTGCGGTCTGAGCGCCAGCTCACGGCACCATTGTGCCCACTGGTTGCACTGTGGGTCCTGGTCTACCTGCCCTCCTTGTGTGTTTTCATAGTCACCGTGAACCTCATGAGCTCAAGCATATGCCCGCGGGGTAAACATCGTGTTCTATGTTTTGTGGTCTCACCTTCAGGCGCCCCTCAGACAGCGGGCAGCCCAAGAAGGTCATGCTGTGGCGCAGCCTGCGCGCGGGGTGGCTGTGCTGTGAACGGGAACCCGGAGGTGCCCCAGCACGGTGGCTCTCAGCGGTGGCTTCCATGGTGCTCAGTGGTGTGCTGGCCCACAAAATCCAAATGGCGCCTTCACAGTGTAAGAAGTGCTCTGATGCTGGCGTAGGGGCGTGACGTCACATTCCTTAGAAAATGGAATGATCTTGAGTGGGTTTGCCTCAGAGGTGAGTATGGTGCGTGTACAAGGGCCAAGAGCAGAGGGCCTCGTCCCTCCCCCTGCCCAGAGGTGCAGCCATGGGAGGGGCGTCCTAGGACTCGTCTCGCACTGTCGGCTCCTGCAGCAGTGGTGGGGACCACAGGTGAACGCCACCACTTCCATACAGGCCTGAGCGCTTCACTCTGGCCAGCGCTTCACATCCAAGGCCAGAAGTTGGCTCCAGCTAGAGTCCTGTGAGTACAGCTCAGACAGCAGCAGAGGTGAAGTTCCCTGTCACACAGTCACAGGGTGAGTGTGAGCCGGCCGTGGCCCACAGGGCCCCAGCGTTGCACCCCGCCCCCTCTCTCCCTGCTCGGCAGTCTTCCATGCAATGCAGCGGTTTCCTGGTCCACCCTGGCCATCCCAGCCCCGGCTGTCCCATCTGCACTCCAGCCAGTGGGAAGGGGAGGAGAGAAAGTGATGGGCAGGCCTGTTTTAAGGGCATGGCCCAGAAGTTGCACCATAACTTCTGCATTCTCCTGGCAGCTAGAACTCAGTCACATCCATGCCTGATTGCGAGCGGGACTGGAAAGTGCCCTGAGGAAACTCCAGGGCTCCAACACAACTAAAGGGAACCTAGATATTAGACAGGTAGCAGCCTCTTCCTCTACATGCTGGGTCAGGGTTGGAAGGAACCTGGGCACACCGCCCTGCCTCCCGCTTCTCTGGGAGCATGCAGAGCCACCGTCTGCCAAGATCCTGGCTCTTGTCAAACCCCTCTTGTCAAGCAATTGTCAAGCCCGGATTGTGTGCTGCTCACTGGCCAGTGCTTTGCATAATTACCTCCTTTAACCTTCGCAGTGACCCCCGGAGGTAGACATTCTTGTC